ATCTTAAGGGCCAATTGCTGTCATTTTGTCCATTTGCATTGGCAAGTAGGTTATATCATCAGATTTTGCGAATACATTCTGAAAAATAATCACCTTTGTTCATAATTTGAATTTAACACAATTTTCCACAAATCAATTCAGATGTAACTGTCATCTAAGCTGCTGATCTCTATGATCTGCTTTGTTTTTGTTTGTCATTTAAGTCAGATTGTGCTATATGTCAACAATATATTTGCTTTGGTAAAAGATGCCAAAAAACTTAACTGGTTACAAAGCCCTTCTGTTATTTGCCAGGAAGCTGAGTGGTTTCCCACCATTTAAATATTAATGATAATTAGGGATGTGAAAAATGTTAAAAAACAAAAACAAACCCTGTGTACCCTATGGAAATTCCATCGGTTACAAGGTTAAATGGGCTCTGCGGGCTCCCAGCTGCCACTGCTGCAGGCTGCTGGCCCTTCAGGCCCCAAGGCTGGACCTGCTGCAGGCTCTGGGCTGCTGCAGGCTACTGGCCCATTGGGTCCTATGGCTGGACCCATGGTCCTCACAGCCCCGCAGCTGGCCCTGCGGGATCCAGGCTCCTGACCCCATCATCAGCCCTCAGGCTCCAAGCTGCCCACGTACACTCCCTAGCAAGAGTTTAAATGGTAACAGGAACCTATAAGCATCAGCTTACCTGTTAAAACTCTTACATCCTATTGACAACCATTTTTCATGGCCTTTCATCTGATAATTTAAGAATGTTTAAGGAGGAATGAATGTCATCATATAAATACACAAGAGTTAAATGTTCATCATTCATTCAATAAATATTAAAGAAGGTTTTCCTATAGTACTCAATACTGAATAAGGACAGATCTTACACTAGTCCCACAGAAACAGTTTTCAGGTTTAGGGAAATTTAATCTAAAAAATTACAATAATTGATAAGCATTACCCAGGTAACATTTTGAAATCTCAGTACCAAGGGATACAAACTTTCCATAAACTCTGATATTGGCAGAAGTCATACTTCTCTAGTTTGAAAGGTAAAATTAGCTGTCTACAAAACATAATTCTTCAGAACTTTTTAAAAAAATAAATACCATAATTTTTCATTTCTGACACTTCACTTTTTTGGATCAAGGAAACTACATACATCCAGATGTATGTGCGGGAATGAAGCTACCCAGAGGATACCTTGAGTACAAAAGTATTATATGGTGTAGTAACGGTAACATTACTAAAGCAAACAGTCCATTAACGTTTTTAACTCACAAAGTGTAATGAAACTGTTCCAGATTGTAGGAGATGTGCTAACTCTATTACAGTGGTATTAAGTAAAGTGGTGTTGTGAAAGCCAGGTAAACAGTATAGCTACTTTCTCTTAAGGAACTGAAACTAAAATGCCAATAAAAGTTTAATAGTAGAATCTTGTTCCATTGTTTGTCAGAGAGAAGCAAAGACAGTCATTTGACAATACAAGGAGAATTAGTAAACACTCTGAAATAAAGAGAATTTGAACTCGTGTTGTAGCTTGCTTCCATCACTTGTATTTAATCAAGCAGCAGTATGCTGTGGAATCTCCATTTCATCCAACACAGCTTTTGAACTCATAAGTAGCACAGGAAGAAAAACGTTTTTACCACTGACAACTTCATGCAAAATTTCACACTCCGCACAATAATGCAATTTACAAAGGACCTTATATATAATTTGCATGATATTTTTTACTGTAATGCATTGGAAATACAAGTCACTGCACAATACTGACAAAATATGTACAAGAAATGGCAAATAAATCAATCTGTTATAAGATGATCAAATATCCCGGTTCTTCCATCAGGATGTGCAGCTCCATGTGATGAGAAGGGCTAACCTACTTCAACTAACACTTTGAGCTCTGATGGAGAGCTCCCTCCTTCTCCTGCCACTTTTCCTACACTCCCTTAAAATTAAGTTTTGAAACTCAAACTCAGTTTATCCTCTTCATATTTCAAGCTTTTCCCTGTCCCCCACTCCCACCTGTATCTCTACTGTTTTCCTCCACAGCAGCCAATTCAGTGTTTCCTGTTTGCACCAAAAGTACTGCTGATCCTAACCTTGCTGAAGGTAAGCCAACAGCTGGAAAAGGCGACACCTAGTGCTGGAGAGAGAAAGAACAAAGCTGTCAGATCCCAAGACAAGGAGGGTTTTTTTTTAAAAAAGTGTGCTAATGGAAAGCCCATAAATAATGGGACAGTCTAGTTACTTTAGTTACAAGTGGTATTTTTAATGTGTGCATGCATGAATATGTGTGTAAAGCTGTGATTGTGAGATTCACCACTCTTGCAGACAGTTCGATCCAAACATTGAGTTGGTAAACAGTTCTACATTCAGCAACAACAAGGATGAAACCAGCTTTCTGTCCCACAAATCAAGTCACAAAACAAAATATTCCTAGAGGTTTGGTTTTGGATGAGCCTTCCAAACTATTCAAGTCCCATCTTGCTGTAGTCATCAGTAATCCTATAGGTATGACTTAGATCAAGCAGTGATCATAGATCCCCGAAATTGACATTAAAGTAGACATTTGCCCAAGAATTCCCACAAGTGGTATCCGATACAGTTGTTAGCAAATAACTTCACTGGAGACCACTGTAGTACAAGTAACTCCAACTACACATGTGATAAAGGATTATTACAGAGAGGATAGTTTACACACTTATTTTTCAGTTTGATTTGGCTTGTGGTTGTTTTTTACACGGAGGTGGTCTCCCATGACGTACAATATGTTTTTCTAAGCTATCTAAAATGGCAATTGCAATTCTCTGAACATCTGGATCAGTTTGGCCATTTTCCTTGATGTTGTACAAGTGCTGCAATCCGCCTTCTTCAATTAACATGCTGCAATATCTGGCAGCTGAAATGAGATCAAGAAAAAAAAAGTTAACTGAAGAGAAGAAAACCAGTTATGAAATACACTCAAGTGTTGGAGTAAACTCTGATCTATTATTCCAGTCAACATTTAGGATATTTTTAAAAGCGCCTACAAATTTGCATCATCACCCAGTAAAATTTTATAAAGGAAAAAAAGATGCTTGTGATTAAGATCTTTGACTAGATCCTCATATCATCTGGGTTCAATTCCCAGCTCTGCACTGACTTCCTATGACACCCTATAAAATGTGGATAATTCTCTCTCTCACTCACACACACACACACACTGTAAAGATAACACTTATGTTTTTGGCACTCACATGCCCATGAGATCTTAGTACCTGAATAGACAACCTGCATTATTGACTTTAAAAGGTAAGCAACACTTCAACAATACAGGACTTCAACACTCAGGAGCACTGATCAGATCTGGAATCACTTGTATAATGCAAAAATGCACCATTTAAACCAGAATATAACTCAGCTTAAGAATCTGAGTTTTCATTTTTGGAAAATTCAGTGTCTTGGGCTTGTAAATAAATCTTTCAAATCATGAGCCTAAAGTCATTTAATGGAGTGACAGCTGTCTATAAATATATGCCAACAAGTCTGGCCACAAATAACAGCTCCAAGAAGTCTGAACTATCCCCATTCAACTCAGAGGGGGTGCCACTGAGCTTAAACATTTAAGTATGGACATTAACTATTTCACTGCTGATCAAATGTATCAAAACAAAGTCAATGTACTTAGTTGTCAATTTTGGATGTTATGTGGGATACTGGGGTATGGTACAGAGGGACAGCTAGTTCTTATCAAGGGTTGTCAATTGGGGGAGAGGGAGAGCTAAGGGAGAACACCTCCCAAGCAGGAATTTAAGCCTCACTACTCCCAATTTTAAAGTAGGGATGTTAAGTATGGGTTAATTAACTAATCGAGTAGCCAATGGGGTGGGGGTGGGGAAGGGACTGCTGCTGAGGATCTTACTCCGAGTGGGTTCTTACTCCATTTAAAGTGCAGAGCCACAGCGGTTCCAGACCAGTGGGGCCAAACAAAAAGAAACTAGGCTAAACAATAAAGGAGCAGCTGGATAAACCAGGTAGGGCAGGGTGCAAACTCAATAGCCAGTCCTGTCCATGTTCCCTTTGCCTCACAAGCTCCACAGAGCGACACACCCTGGGAAAAATCACTGTTGAGAGAGCCAGGCAGAGAAGAAAGGTTCGAGCTCCCCAGGGCTGGGGCATCTCTTCGCCTCCTTTGCCACCCTGCGCCCTTCCCTCCCTTCGCCTCTCCCTGTGATTACAACTCCAACGTCGACCGATGCTGCCTGAACCTGGAGAATAAACATCCTCTGCTTAGATCCACTAATTTCCAACTGCATAGCACCCACATTTTAAACTGCAGAGCCACAGCAGTCCCAGACTCACATGAGCCCAGACTGAACTGGGCTTGCTCAGTCCCAGTGTAATCCACTGGGCAGATTTGAACCTAGGACCTCTGAAGCTTAGTATAGGAGCCTCTACAGCTTGAGCTATAAAGCCAGCTAGCTCTCAGCCCGTGCTGTAGAGGTCTCCTGTTCTTATCTGTTGCTGTGATCTAGCTGCCACTGCATGGGACAGTGAAACACTAGGGCTATGTCTACACTGGCGGCTTCTTGCGCAAAAAAAATCTTGCGCAAGGGTTCTTGTGCAAGAACTCTTGCGCAAGAAAACATCCACACTGCCATGAGGGAGATGTGCTTTTGTGCAAGAGCATCCATGGCAGTGTGGACACTCTCTTGCGCAAGACAGCTCTGTGGCCATTTTAGCCATAGGGCTTTCTTGAGCAAGAAATCCCTGCCGAGCGTCCACACTGCCCTCTTGCGCAAGAGGACTTACACCTGTTAAAAAGAGCGTAGCTCTTGCACAAAAAGCCCTCCCTTACCACGCCATACTATCAATTTTCTTGCGCAAGAGCAGGCAGGCAGCGTGGACGCTCTGCAGATTATTGTGCAAGAATGGTCGTACTTGTGCAAGAAGCCGCGAGTGTAGACATAGCCTAGGTGTGTGGGTTACAGCAGCTCGTGCCAGGTCCAGGAGACCCTGTCTGCAACAGGGTCTGCTGCTGAAGCACCCTCCTCTATCCCCCACCCCCTTCAGGGGGTAGGAGAGGCGGAACCATGGATATGGTGCTGGGGAGGAAATCAGCTTCTAAGTTGGCTCCCCTTTGCACCGGCTCCTCTGTTTCCCCTAAGGCAGCAAGGGCAGGGGTGGAGGGGAGTAGTCAACTCAACTACCCCATAAGCTTAGGCTTATCAGGTAGTCAGCTCCATAAGCTTAGGCTTATCAGGTAGTCAGCTAGTCGACTGCTCACTTGCACCCCTATTTTAAAGTTCTCTGTCCCTGCCTAAAGAGGGAGTTCATGAGGAAATAAATGCATCCCCTCTCCAATACCAAGAGACTTAACCAACTCCTGGATATCAATAACCAAAAACTCCCATGCTTTACCAAGTGAACCTTTATGCTTAAGGGCACAGGAAATTTCTAAATAATGAGTTAAGAAGATTCTTCTAAAGCTATCTGTGACGTGGTATGGTCACAGACGACCCTCGGGGGTGCCTCCCAGGGTGCTGACATGGCCACTGCCACTCGCCTTCCTGCTCTCTGGGGCTCCTCACCGCCTGGTCCTGCTGGGCCAGCTCCGCTGGTTCCCCCAATTGAGGACAGACACTGAACCTTTTCAGGTCCGAGGAGAGTGCAGTTTAGGGCCCAGCCTCCTGAGAGAGCACTCCCCAGATGGGATCAAACGCCAAAGAATTAGGTAAGCCCCCTTTAGCAATGAAAGGGGGAATGTGCACACTGGTTGCCCCCAGGTAACAATTATTTACACTGAGTTTGATAGAAATTAAAAATGATTTTATTAAGTGGAAGCAGTAGGATTTAAGTAGTAATAAGAGAACAGGCAGAGCAAAGTAAGTTACAAATCGAAACAAAAACGCTTGGCTAATTCTACACTAAAACCTCAGTACAAACTCTTCAAACTCACTCTAAAACCTCTTTTCCAGCTGCCACTCTCAACCAGGGCTGTCTTCCCCACCCTAGGGTCTCAGTCTCCTTCCTTCAGGTTCAGCCCAGCGAAAAGACCAAGGCCTCTGCTTTCCTATTCTTTTTGTTAAAGAACTGAGGCCCCTCCCCACCAACCACTGCTCAGACTGAAGGACAAAAGAGATAGTTTAACAGTTGAGGGCAACACCTTCCATGTCTCTCATTTACACATTTGAAACCCACCAAGTATTTCCCACTCCATGTGTCTAATTTTACACCCAAAAATGATATACATCAAAGAAAGATAAACAGAACCAGCAGATCATGACATGAAGATTGATGGGTTACATGAAATAATTCACTCAAAACACCTTTGAGTTATGTATATTCATGTCCATAAGTCCATTTCATAAAGCATGGGGAGAGGGTGTCCCATTACACTATCTATCATGGGATTTCCTCACACCTTCCTCTGAGTGCATCTGATGTGTTGGAGACAACATACAAGACAGGTGGACTACGGGTTTGATCCTGTATGGTAATTCCGACATTTGTTACCTAGCTATCAATTTCTCCAGCTTTCTCTATGCTGACAATTTCTATTGGGCCTTTAATCATTGTCAATTCAAATATTTGCAGAAGTGATTTTGGCCCTGATAGCAGCAGGCACAAAGCCATTGCTGTCAATAACATTACATCCAGAGACTGAAAGTAACTCATTCCTCCCAGAGATCAAAGGAGCTATATGCATACACTATGGAGAGTACTGAAGGCACATGCACCTAAATCATGTGAGAAATAGACACAGTGAGCATTCAGAACATAACAGCAGCATATTAGGTCAGACCAAAGGTCCATTTAGCTCAGTATTCAGACTTCTGACAGCGACTAATGCAAATCCCCCAGAGGAAATGAACAGACCAAGTGATCTATCCCCTGTCACCCATTCCGAGCTCCGAGGCTAGGGACATCATCCCTGCGCATCCAAGCTAATAGGGGCTGATGGACCTATCCCCAATGAATTTACTCTAGCAGGGAGTTCTACAGATTGCCTGCTGTTTTTTTAACAAAATACTTCCTTTTGTCTTTTTGAAATTGATGTTTATTAATTTCATTTGATGACGCCTAGTTCTTGTGTTATGGGAGAGAGTAAACAATTTTTCCTTATCTACTTTCTCTGCACCAGTCATAATTTTATAGGCCTCTAAACAAATAACACCTTAGCGGTCTCTTTTCCAAGCTGAAAAGACCCAGTCTTATTAATCTCTTCTCATGTGGCAGCTGTTCCATATCACTAATCATTTTGTTGCCCTTTTCTGAACCTTTTCTAATTCCCAGGGCTCGAAAAATAGTGTAATCTACTCGCTCGTGGCAAGTAGATTACACCCTGGAAGAGCCGGCGCGAAGCGATCTGTGCATGCGCAGAACGATCTGCACATGCGCAGAGCACAGAACTGCGCGGCTGGTGAGCCGGGCTCGCCGCCGCTCAGCAAGCCCTGCTAATTCCAATACATCTTTTTGAGATGAGGCGACCACATCTGTACATAGTATTCAAGATGTGGGTGCACCATGGATTTATATAGAGACAATATGATATTTTCTTTATTATTATGTATTCCTTTCTTTCAAGTAGTGAGCTTGTTCTGTGAGTCTGCATTTAGCTACGCTAAGGGAATACTTTTTGCTGATAGCACCTTTCATCAGATCTCTGGTCTACACTGTGAGCTTAGGTTGACATATTCAGCATTAGGTTGAATTTGTAATATGTGTTTACACAGCTGAGTCCCTCCCATTGACCTAAAGAGCTTTTGAAATCAACTCCTGTACTCCACCTGAACAAGTGGAGTAAAGCCAGAGTCAACATTCACCCTCTGAAGTGATGATCCAGAGTGCTCTTGTGAGCACTTCAAACTCCAGTGCTCTTCAGCCAGGCCAGCAGGAAAAGCCCTGGGGGACTTCTGAATGAACACATATGCCCAAAGGCACACACACACTCCAGGAGGGAACCTTTAAGAGAGCCACTCTATCTGATTGCTAGGGGGACGGGGAGAATGGAAGGGGAAGAGTTCATGCAGGCAGAGCTCTGAACCAACAAAATTAATGCTGATATCTAAGCCAAAATTGCACAGGGCATAGTGGAAAAGAGCTACATAAGGGACATATAACAATGCCATCTGAAAGAGAGAGGCTTAGACAACTGTACTACAGGACAAGGCTAGTGAACAGATGCTCTTTTTCTAAGTCACAAACATGGGAGGATGATGACAGGCACCCATAACCACCCACAACAATGTTTGCATCCCTTGAGGCACTGGGATACTAGCCCAGAATTACAAACTGCTACAGGGACTGTGGGACAGCGACCTACAGTGCATCAACTCTGGAGTCAATGCAACCCCCTGGCAGTGAGGATGTGCTCTGACTATAGCTACCTAGCGGGGACATACAAAAAAAAAAAAAATCACATTTGCTAAATCGGATGCTCAAAGTTGAATTAAATAAAATCATCATCATTTTGTAGTGTAGACATACCCTGAGCTTAAGAAACCCACTTCGTGTTACCCAGCAAGCCAGTGTAAAAATGGAAATCAATCAAAATACAGGATGGCACCAATACCTTAGGAAATTACTGCTTACTATACTCTCTGCTCTTCTTTAAATAGAATGAGAACTTACGTTGTCCATCACTTTGTATTATATATTTATTGGTGAAAATTCTGAACAAAAAGTTATTTCTAGAAAGCCCAATGAAATATGGTTAACATGCATCTGTTGTGACCTAATGTGCATATCAAAAATAAAATCCATTTAGATAGAAAAATGTAGCTAAAAGGAGTTTCTGCCCCTATTTTAAGCAAAACCTTAACATGTCTTTCCCCATCAGAGTTAAGGATGAAGACCATGAGATCTTCCTGGACTCTTTTAGCTATTCTGGTAGACTTGATGTAAGAAGGTAGTAATTTAAATGTATTTATATCTTAGTACGTACGGTTTTTGCTGCAGACATGCTGCATGGCCCACACTGCCCACAGCTGAACTCCAGGCGTCATGAAGCAGCCAAGAAGGGGGAAAAACGGGTTGAAAGACCTACAGATTAAAAACAAATAGATTCTCAGCAATTCATTTGAATACTGGATGCCATTACTACCGAGACCATACCTTAACTACATATTTAGTTAACAGTCTAGATAAGAAAGACAGTGGTGATATGTTAGAGTTTTGGATGTAGTAATTGACGTTTCTTCCCAGTTTACAAATGTTATTTACCAGTCAGTCACTACACTAAGCCGCAGTATCTGGTGCCTCACATTACTTAAAGGCAAAAGTACCTGGCCAGTGTTAAAGAGATCATACAAAATGGTCTAATGATCCAATCCAGCCTTAAAACCAGTGAATTTATGGCATACAACATCACACTACATTACTATAGCTCAATACCTAATATATTGTTTAGTTTCTTCATATGTTCCTCTGAACATTCACCCAAAAGAGTAGGGCCGGCCCAAGCCATTTTGGCACCCCAGGCCCTGGGCGGGCGGCACCGCCCCGGGCACACGGTGCATGTGCGGGCCCACCCCCAGGGCGCATGGGTCTGCCCCCAGGCACATGGCGGATGCGCGAGCTTGCCCCCCCATGCAGGGCCCCATGGCGGGAAGAGCACTGAGGGGGTTAACGCGGCCCCCCGCTCCGGGCGGCTACTGCCCGGCTTGCCCACCCCTTAGTCCAGCCCTGCTAAAGAGGTAAATAGGGCTATACTCTAGGAGACGAGCACTATATCCAGCTCTGAAAGGAGACCCACACTAACTCATTTCTCCTATCACCCCTAGCCACCTACTAGAGGTTTCAGATGGGAAGCATGGTTTTATTCATAGGGATAATGTTTAGCAGGCAACCTGCAACGTTTCAGGCACAGACCCATAATTTTTAGAGCAACTTAAAGGGTGTTGGGGAGTTAGTATTTTCCAAATTATAAATCAAGGCAATAGTTACCTGTAGGCAACCATCTCACATTCTGGAGTTGGCCAATTCAAAATGGCTGAGTGCTACAAGATAGAAAATCAAATGCTGTAATATTTAATGCTAGTTACAGACAATTAACATTGATATAAACAGAGAATATTTTTAGCCATTTCTGTACCAGTTGTTCAAGAAGAGATGTCCTCTGAGTGCGACTCAATGTCCAGGCCTGCTCTCCTCGAGATATCAAGTGAGCAATAATCCCAGCTGCAAAGTAACTGACTTCTACCTCAACACTGTGCAACAGTTTACTGATGTGGTCTATGAAGTCTTTCCACATTAACTCAGAATGTAGCTCTTTCACCTCCGCTATGTTGTTCTATAGGAAAACAGAATTGAAAAAAAATATTTAAAAAAAATGAAGTATTAATGAGTGTCTAACTGCTTTGGGAACACAGGCAATGTAATTTAAAAAGCATAATATCAAACACAGAGCTCAAACAGCCCAGTATACAAGGTTAAGAAAACAACAGTGTACCATTTAAGCCAATTTTCAAATAGCAATTAAATATGGAGACAATTAAGAACAATTTCTGTGAAATTTTTAATTTTTCTAGTCTTCTTACCAGAAGGCCAAGAACTTTCTGTTGGATAGATGATTCAGATGGGAATGACTGCAAAGTGAAATTTCAATATGTAAGTCACAAAGTAATGGTTTGTTAATGCTGAAACTTTAGAATCAAGGAATGCAATCCACCTCCTTATTTTTATTTATATGGAGCTATACTTCTCATAGAACTGGAAGGGATGGCCTTGAAAAACCATCAAGTCCAGTCCCTTACACCTTTCTGGCAGGACCTTGAGAGATCATCAAATCCAGTCCCTTACCCTTCTGGCAGGATGACTGTACCATCCCTGACAGATTTACACCAAATCCCTAAACGGCCCCCTCAAGGATTGAACTCACAAGCCTGGGTTTAGCAGGCCTATGCACAAGCCACTGAGCTATCCCTCCCTTCATCTCTGATTAGAATGGAAATTTATATATAGCAAACCATAGTCCTCACCTCTAACACTCTCATGAAGAGTTCTAGCCCTTGATTTTCAATAAAGTGCCTACACGTGGTTGGAGATTCATCAGTGAGATTCCAAAGTGCACTAAGTGTAAACTTGAGTGTAGTATCCACTAGATTCTGATTTGTTTTCTGCTTAACTATTTGTAGAAGTTGCTGAAAAAGAAAGAATAAAAACTATTTGAAGTTGTGTGTTTTAGTCCTAGATCGTCATCTTTGTTTATACAAGGCAAGACTGGGGAAATGAGTAATGACATCTCGGATTAGAATGGAAATTTATGTACACAGCAATTAACACGTTCTTAAAAACCTTTAATGATGGAGATTCCACAACTTTCTTAGGGAATTTTTTCCATTGCTCAACTATCCTTACATGTAGGAAGCTTTTCCTAATGTCTAGCCTAAATTTCCTTTGTTGCAACTTCAGCACATTGTTTTTTGTCCAGTCATCATTGGGTAAGGAGAACAATTTAACACCCTTCTCTTTTAATAACCTTTTATATACTTGAAGACTTATGTCCCCCTCCGGTCTTTTCTTTTCCAGACTAAACAAACGCGCTTTTCCCCAATCTTTCTTTGGGAGTCATGTTTTCTAGACCTTTAATTATGTTTATATTATATTCTCTGGACTCTCTCAAATTTGTCCAGATGTTTCCTAAAGTGCAGTGCCTAGAACTGGACACAATATGCAAGATGGGGCCGTCGCAGTGCTGAGTAGAGTGGAAGAATTCCTTTCATGTCTTGTTTACAATACTTCTCTGCTAATACAGGTGGTGCCTCCCCAAACTGGAATTCTCTTCTCTGGCAACATCCATGGTTTAGCATGACCACAGACGTTCCTGAGTCAGAACCTGGTAGCCTAGTGGCAGAAGGGCAATCCAGGAGAGGCCCAGCTGAAACAGCAGGACGGGACAGAGGCTGGGAGTGGTAGCAACCCCTGGCAGCCTGTAGCATTGGGACTGGAGCTAGCAGCAGCTCCTGGCACTGGAGCCAGCTCAAGGCAGCTCCTGACAGTGCAGAACCAGGCTGGCAACAGCCTATGGCAGCATGGGGCTGGGGCTGGGGCCAGAGCCCTGGGCAGCCCAGGGAAGCAGGGCCAAAGCCTGTGGGCTGCCGCAGGACAGGAGTCCAAGCCCGTAGCACCCCATGGCGGTAGGATCAGGGCTGGAGCTGGTGGCAGCCCCAGCAGCCCACAGCAGCATGGGGCCAGAGCCTGCGGGCTGCCACAGGGCAGGAGCCAAAGCCCACAGCAGCCCATGGCAGCAAAATTATGATCGGGGCTGGCGGCAGTCCCAGCAGCCCACAGCAGCACGGGGCCAGAGCCCGTGGGGCTGGGACAGGAGCCTGAGTCCTTGGCAGACCCCGAATGCCAGATCAGGGCCAGAGTCAGCCCCTGGTAGCTAGCAGTAGGATGGGGCTGGAGTCTGGCAGGCAGTCCAGCCAGGGCAGCAGCAGTGGGGCCAGCAACCCAGACGGCAGCCTGAGTGGGGCTGTAGGTAGTGGGGATCCACAGAGCTGGCAGAGTCAGCAGCTGGAGGATGTGGCAGGGAAGCTTCTCTGGTCCAGCAAATTTCCTGGTTTGGACCCGTCAGGTCCTAAGGGTATCAGATCAGAGAGGTCCAACCCGTATATTCCAGAATGTTCGCTTGTATTGTAACACGACTGTATTGTTGATTCACTATAACCTCCACATTGATCCTTTTCTACAATACTCTGTCCTATGCAGTTATTTACCATTTTATATTTATGTACCTTCATTAGAACAGTACTTTGGATTTATCCTTATTTAAATTATCCTAATATTGCAGACCATTTTTCCAATTTGCCAAGATCATTTTGAATTATAATCACATCCTCCAAGATGCCTGCAACCCCCTTTCAGGCTGATACCATCCACAAACGTTGAGAGGGTGATTTCTGTGCCATTCAGGACTGATCCCTGCAGGACCCCACTCAATATGCCCTTCCAGCTTGACTGTGGACCATTAATCATTACTCTGTGCATTCACCTTATAGTAGGTTCACCTAGGATGTATTTTCCTAGTTTGATTATGAGACAGTATTAAAAAAAAAAAAATCACACGAGTTGAAATTCAGATCTACTGCCTCACCCCCCACATACCAATTCACAAGGCTTGCTACTTTATCATAGTTGCATGTGAGGTTGATTGGACATGATTTCCTCTTCACAAATCTATACTGATTGGTTGGACCTCCCTGGTCCAGTACACCCTTGGGACCTGATTGGTCCCAAACAAGGGAGTTTGCCGGACTAGGAGAGGTCAATTCTGGCCCCCCTGGGCTCTCCTCAGGTCCATCAGCAGACCAGGCTGGGCCCTCCATATGGCTCCTCTCCTCTATGTCCCTAGCCAAGTTGCACTGCCGGGTCCAGCCTCGGCCACCAAGCAGGCTCTGCGCCCCTGGCCAGGCTGTGCTGCTGGGTCCGAACCTGGCCCCCAGGCAAGCTCTGCGCTCCCAGCCCTAGCCTCTGTGCTGTTGGGTCCAACCCCGGTCAGCTGGCGGGCTCCATGCTGTCAGCGTCCTGTCCCCAGGCTGGCTCAAGCTGCCAGCCCTCGCACCAGGGTCCGGGCTTCTCCCCAACATGGGGCTCTCTGGTCCTGCATCATCCAGATGTTGTTGGACCAGAGAGTGCTGGACCACAGAGATTCAACCTGTACCGAAAATAAGCTGCCTGATCTAGAATAGGGATGTTAGGAAGCGGGTAATTTGCCAATCCTGTTGTCAATGCAACTTTTATCAACTCCACGATTAGTCAGTAAGGGAGGGCAGTTAGAGCATTCAGTCCTGGTTCGGGCCGGGTCCCGGCTTCATTTCCCTGCTGCAGAGCTGCAACATTAGGGACGGGGAAGCCAGTGAGAGAGTGCACTGGCTCAATCCCTGGTCCTGCAGGGTCACAGCATGACCCCCCTGCTGTGGCTCTGCAACATTAAGGGATCGGGGAGCTGGTGCAGGAGCTCACTGGCTCAGTGTGTTGGACCCATACACTGCAAATGTTGCAGACCAGAGCCCTGCAAAAAAAAAAAAGCCAAGCTTTCCTTGGTTTCACTGCATTTCACAAAGATTAAAAAAAAAAAAATTACAGTAGGCTCACTAGCTAACCCCTGGCCCACCTGGGAAACAGAGCACTTTAATGCATTGCTATGGAGTTTGCCTTTCCCCCTTGAAAGACCTTGTAATGTAAATAAGGTCCTGCAAAAACTAACCCTAGTCTCTGAAGTAGAGAGGTAGCTGTGTTAGTCTGATCTTGCTAAAACAAAAGGAAAAACTACGTAGCACTTTAAAGGCTAACACGATGGTTTAATAGGCGATGAGCTTTCGTGGGCCAGACAAACTTCCTCAGATCATATTCTGAAAGGGAATTGAAATGACCATATATACCAAAGGAATACAAAGAAAAAAGTGATTCAGATTTAGAATAGAAGGTGGGGCGAGGAAGAGGGAGGGAGGGAATAACTGTTTATAAGTAAATGAATGGCTAATCAGGGGTGATAAGTGGAGAAGTTGTCTTTATAATGTGTAAGGTAATTAGCATCTTTGTTAAGGCCCGTTCATAAAGTGTAAAATTTAAGCACGAATGAAAGTTCTGAAGTTTCTTTCTGTAATCTGGTGTTGAAGGAAAAAATGTAGGAAAAATTGCCAAAATATTCTATTACACAGTTTTAAAAAGAGAACACATAAAAATTCCATATTAAACTAAAGTTGGTAAGGGGAAATATTAAATATTAATTTAAGACTATTTCTGGGTGTTTAGTTACTAGTAGCCACTACTTTTAGCAACTTGAGTCAAATACATTGGACTAAGATTCTGACTTTTTTGGTTCTGCAATGAACTCCACTAAGCCATCTAATTTATTCTGAAGAGAATTAAGATTTATCACTGTTCAACAGCTATCATTTGAACATCTGTCCTGCACAGACATTAAGGTAATATAGTTTAGTATACTGGCTGAAGCGCAACGTTAGAGTTGTGTTCTGCATCACAGTCTTTTCTAGAAATCAAGAGACATTTCTGAAATATGTATTTCCGCTATCCTGAAGTTGAGGCCACCAGACTTCAGCTGAAACTAGGTCCCAGGAATAATTACTTCTGATAGCTCGTGCTTGGTTTCAGTTTGATTTCAAAATCCAGTAAAAATTTGTTTAACTTTTTTAAAAGATGTGAGATGCCTAATTTAGCCTGTGTGTATTGTCGCAGCCAGTTGATGCCACAGTGGCCCTATCTATTGTAGCTGTGTGCCAAGGTAAACATGTCCAGGGGAGCTTGTTTTCAAGGTAAGGTTCAATACAAATTTACAAAAAGTTTTGATGGAAAACTGACATATACTGTAGTCATTTAATCCTAACACAATCAAATTATTTACTTTGGTTTCTATTTAACTCATTAACATGGTGAGTGCCCTCCTGACAGTCTGGGGTTCCAATTTTTCCTGGTAGCTGTACTGACAGAAGGTAAAATTAACTATGTATTTTTAGTTGAATAGACTACACCTAACTGTAACCAATTTCAAATTATTTAAAATAGGAGATCCAGGGTAGCAATTTGTAAGAGCCACAATATTGGACTTACCCTAACTATGAAGAGTTCTGCACCAAGTTGAGCTGTTTGCTCAGTTGAAAGCTATAAACAAAAATATTAGATGAATATCAGAGAAATCACTAGGACTGTGGAAATTATATTTCACCACTATTACATTTATAAGATTTTTTTTTTTACCTTTGCAGCTAGAATGGAGATTATAGCCACTGCCATCCTCTGCATATTTTGATCTTCATGGTTACACAGCCATTGCATAACAAGCTTGGCTGCTTCAAATCTGAAAGTTAACAGTTTTTATTTTCAGAACAGAAGTTATGTTAAGTTATAAAAGGAAATATATGCCCCAGTCAGTAGATATTGGAAATACTGTGCTTTGTCCCATACAGATGAATATGAACAGTGGAATTAAGAGTAGGCAAACCTACTTTCAGGCCCATGCAATGAGTGAAATCTAAAGAGCAACCCTCAGAAAAGTTTCAACATTGGTTCTTACAACTGCCTTTATGTAAGCTAAAGAAAACCACCAATAAATCTATCTACTGAAAACCTAAAGAGCTTACAGTCTGCTTGTCTGCTACAGAAAATATAAAATCTTCAGTTAGGCCAAACTCACAGGGATTACTCAGATTTCAGGATCTGCTCCCTGAGGCCTTGTCTGAACTTACTTGGAAAGTCAAATTAAGATATGCAACTCCAGCTATGTTAATTATCTAGCTGGAGTCGACAATTTTCACAATGGTAGCTGTGTTAGCCTGTAACTTTGAAAACAAGTAATCCTGTAGCACCTTAGAAGCTACTTCATTTTATATATATATCACACACTTATTTGTTGGTCTCTAAGGTGCTACAATACTACTTGTTATACCTTAACTCAACCTTTGGCACTGTTGACTTCCCTTACTCCTTGCAAATCGAGGAGTACTAACATCCACGGAGGTATGTTCAGTGTTTGATTTAGCAAGTCTTTACTAAACCCACTAAACAGAACTTCAGAAGATCGACTTCTGCAGCCTCATGCTTCCCATTAATGAAGACATGGCCCCAAGGTCTCTCTTACTAGAGACTTAATATTAAAGTACAAGGTCTTTTTTTCTTGAGAGAGAGATGGCTTATCTAAAACCAGAAATAACCTCTCACTTTCTCTGCCTTATAGCTTCTGACCTAGGCATGTTGGATTTAAACCCTCAAAAGCCTTCTAATATAATTGCTCAATAAAGAGACCACTGCCAAATGACAAAACTCACTTCCACAATTCCAGAGAGTCAGCAAACTGGAAATTAAATTCTGATCTCTGTTACACCAATTTACAGCTTGAATAATTTATCTTAATTCAATTGCCGTTTAGACAAGAATTTTTTCAGACCTACAATCCATATAAATTTTGAATTATGGGCCCCAAAAATTCTCATTTCCAAAGTGAGTTACTATGGGATCGGAGAGCAGAAACGAACCTTACAAATCAATATCAGGTATCCGAAATGACAATACAGAATTCTGTATTTCCTGAAACTAGCCCAACAATTAGCATATTTCAAAGAAATGCTACTACCCAGAAAATTAAATAAAGATGACAACTGATATATTGCTCTACATTCTATTTTAATTAACAGGATGACATTTACCTGTTAAATGGAACATCCTGAAGGATCCTGTCACTGCATAGTGAAAGAAGACAATTCTTCTGAAGCTATATGAGATTTAAAAAAAAAAAAAGTTCAGCAAAAGAATACAAACATTTCAAAGTGCTTCCTTGTTACACAAAAAATGTACATGTTTGGTGAATCCTGTACTATGCAGAAAATGGTTATCCTTTTAAACAAGGAGAAATGTCAAATTCTTCTGGAATAAAGCCACAAGACTTTTACGTAACAATAACATCCTCTTCACTACCAAATATACCATATAATTATTGGGAAGTCAAGTTTCTCATGGTCTTTTTACTCAGTACAAACTATAAAGGTTTTTTTGGGGTGACAGTGGTGTCAAGTTGTACAATGTCAGTTTCTTATTGTGAATTAAGGTTTCTGCAAATGACTATTAATAATTGACCTTCAAATGGGTAAGGTTAACAACTTAAGAAGTAGATAGACATGGCCACAGAGATATATTGGCTGTACCATAGTTTTGTACCTAAAACATTTCTTCTTCTTACAATTAAACTCTATGTTCCAATGAAGTGGGAGAAAGCGTTCAAATAAAATAAAATAATCTGTAACTTTCTTTAAAGCTATATCCCAAAATACAGAGCACTCTAGACCAATTAGCCTACCATAATTAATGAGATCTGCAAATTGTTCACAATCTCTGAAATCCAGACGATAAAAATGGTTATTTATTGTCAGAGGAAAATACTAGAAAATCTTTGGAAGAGGACAAAAAAATGGATTTATCAATATTGTCTAGACTAGTGATACTCAGTGGTTTGGGTCAAATTAGCGATCAAGTGTGCCAGTGTGAATAACTGTAAATAATATATAATCAACTAAATATTATTCTCTCAGCAAATGAGTTAATAATTTAGTGCAAGCTGATATTCTAATTCATTAACATAGTAAAAGCATCCTGATAGTTTATTAATGAAATCAGAGTTCTTTAAGAGCCTGTGCTGCAAAGAGACACAGGAGATATATTAAAGAGCCAGTTGCGACTCACAAGCTATAGTCTGACTGTAGGCCAAAGGCGAAAAGGAAACACTGTACCAGATATTAAAAACAGGACATCTGGCAACCCTACGTGAGACTCTCCCAAAACATACTGCTGAGACTGGCAGCCTCCTTCATTATATCAGGCATATACTAACTTTCGGGAAAAGGTAGGCATTCATTCCTCACAATCTGTAGAATGGGATACAACTCCCACATCTTTAACCTAGCTTAACCTCTTTGAAACAAGGCACAAGCAAATCCTAAGAGGTCTGCTACTACTTTGCTGCTCATCATCCAAAATGAGTTTTGTAATGAAGGACTATACAAAAAGTTTCTACATTCCTCTTTGGAGGGAAGCTTTCCTCCAATACGTTATATTACACATGCTTTACTAAGCAATAACCCACAGGCATCATTGTAGGGAGAAATGGTACTGGTATATCCAAAATCTTCCACCAGAAACTTCAGGGCTGTTTTTGTTAAGGACAACATAATCAGTTCTGGACTTTTACTTAACTCAATCCTGCCTGAAAAATACTGATGTTAGATATCATGTATTTTAGTAATCAGAGGCAGCAGCGCAGGATGGCAGGCGTAGCCGGTCTGCGAGGGGAGCTGGTTTTAAAGTTGGCTCCCTGCACAAACTGGCTCCTGCTTGCTAGCCTGTGCTGCTCCCTCTGATATAGAAGCAGTAGCACAGAGCAGATGCAGCAGCCCCTGTCTACTGGATCCTGAGCTCCCCACGACCAGAGGTTGCTCTGGCATCCCACAGGCTCCCCCCCCTACACTGCTGCCTCTGGAGCTCATAAGGAGCCAGCTTTTAAATCAATTGCCCCCAAGCACCAGCTCCTGGCTCCCCCCACCGCCTCTATGGCAGGCAGTAAGGAGGGGGCAGGGAGGCGGTTCTGTCCCTGCCAGCTCCCCATGTGTACTGGCTCCCACCTGCACCCCCATGCTGCTGCCTCTGATACAGAGGCAGCAGCACAGAGTGTGTCTGTGTGGGAGAGCGGGGACAGGCAACTCTTCATGAGCCGATATGTGTGAGGAGCCAGCTTCCTGTGTTTACCAGCTCCCGTCTCTCCCATTCAACCTCCACTGGAATGAGCATGGATGGGGAGCGGTCTTAAAAGCCAGCTCCCCATGGGCACCAGCTCCTGCCTCCACCTTGCTGCCTCTGATATAGAGGCAGCAAGGGTGTTTGTGTACGTGTAGTTGTTTGGATTAATTGAGAAAGCCCAGGCTTATCAGTTAATCGTTTAAATGACTATATGCTAACATCCCTACTGGATAATAGTATCATGGTGATCACAACTGGACCATAGTTGTCAGATAGCTAAATGGTGATATATCTCCTGTTTGTCCTTTCTGTTCTGGTTCTGTTTTCTGCTGTGTGAAGAAATGTTTAGCACAGTTACTGAGTTTTGTGCATACAATAGTCAACAGAGATGTCAATAGATACTATTCTTTTATTTGCCTCTTCTTGTCCTACTTCATTTATTAGTCTGAGTCAAGTAAAATAAAGTCTTTAAAAAAAAAGCGCCATGCTAGAGGAACATTGCTTCTACATACTGCGCTCTTAGGGTACATCTACACTACAAGGTTTTTTGCTCAAAACGGCCATTTTTTGCACAAAAACCGGCGGAGTGTCCACACCACAAGTGCGTTTTTGTGCCAAAAAAAAAAAAAAAATAAAAAAAAAAAAGACAGAACAAAGGGCTTTTGCCAGCAGAGTTATTCTTCTCCCCACGAGGAATAACTCCTTTTTGCACTACAGCTCTTGCAGCATACACAAAGCCTTACAAGGCAGAGAGTTCAACAAGGCAGTGATCCAGGAATGCAGAAGTCAAGGACAGAAAAATCACCAGACATTCTTTGCCCATGTTTGGGTCAGTGAGAAAGTGCATCTATTAGTACCTGTGAAGTGGAAATCTCATTGTGCAGCGATGCAGTTCATAGCAATAGTACAGTCACTGTGAGTTAAATATCAAACTGCACCTCTACAAGTCTTGTCCCTGTATCATTATATTAAGGTACTGCAGTCTAAGAGGAAAAGTGTCACAAGGAACCACCTTTCAAGTCACTATATATGAGGTGTGCATACTGTACATAGATATTTGGGTACATCTGTTTAAGGCCATCACTGAGATGGAGTCAAACCTTGCTTCATCTCTATTAAGTTTATATAGTTTTGCAACATCTACGGGTATGGTTAAATTGCCAGAAAGTTTACAAGAGAAATGAGGCTCTATTTATATTGCAGTCAGTCAATACTTTATAGCATTAAAGTGTTTTCAAAGAAGAAACATCACAGCACTTGGGCTATCTATTATTAAACCTCCTGTTATGAAGAAAAATTCACAGTAAAACGAAACCGAATATTTTTACCTGTTGATGGTTGGGAAAATGTTCCATCGCCTTAAGAAGTAAGTGAGTGACATCAGCCAGTAGTCTAACAGGCATGCCTGCTGCTAAATCTTGCTTGGTTAAGTTAAACACACATGCGCTTGCTGCTAACTGCACTGGCAAGTTCAGAGGGTGATTTCGCATTCCAATAACCACAAGCTGAAAGGAAAAAAAAATTCACATTATGCATAAATCCACATACTGAAAAGCAATCCTGGATCCCTTGGCACCAGAAGATGTGATTTGGTGCACCACCATTCCTCCCTACCTCTCACTCAATTCAGCAACTCAATGACTGAAATTTCAGTTTCCAGAAAGAGCTTTTATATTTTTGCTCAGTCATTTCAAGCAGATAACTTACATTACCCAGAGCGCTTTACACCAGTTGCATCAATCTCGCAACAGAGATGTTGCATGTTTTGCAACAGATGGAGGCAGTTCTTATAACCCAGGCTGCTGCAGTCACCACACAGAACAGAAACACACTTCCAGAATTTATCCATCTTATACCCACTACTGAAACATAGGAAAGATACAGTACTGTCCTGTTGGTAGGTAATCACTGCATGCTTAGCACTACTACAGAAAGAAAGTTGCCAGTTTAACAGCACCTTATAGCTATCCCTTTCAGATTGTTTCTGGCTTTTTAAATTTGTCAAATACCTTATACACATGGAAAGAGAAGAGCAATCGTTGCTGGTTCTTGAATACCCAATCTCTCTTTGACATTGACACTAACATACTCAAGCAGCAATATCTCCCAGTAAACACAGTCAAGCTATAACAATCACATATATAATAATCATATAGAATAAAGTTTTCTTAGAGTCATTTGTTTAACTTGAAAGATGTTGATCAATGATCTTTTCTATTAGAATACTCAACCTCTCTGATATTTCTTTCCATTGGAAGGATAAAGATTGAGCTGAACTACTTCTGGGTTCTCCAATGATAAAAAGCTAGTGATCTAAGGATAGGCTGTTAGTCTAAAATGGGGAAGGCAATACTTTTTGATGAGGGGCCAGTCCAAGAGCCACACTTTATTATGGATGAGGTGTGGGGTCTGGGACAGAGGTTAGGTACAGAAGAGAACTTGGGGTAGGGAACGAGGGTGCAGGAGAGGGTGGAAGTCTGAGAGACAGTGTGGGTGAAGGAGGGGAGGCTGTGACCTGGGGTAGGGTCCGGAAAAGGGTATGCGTGCAGGAGAGGATTCTGGACTGCGGGAGGGATGTAGGAATGGATGCAGGGTCTGGGAGGGAGTTGGGTGTGCCAGAGACAGGCTCTGTGTCCTTACCTAAGCAGAGGCCAGCAGCACTCTCAAGCAGGATTCCCTACCTGCCAGCAGCCCCCAGCTGATTGTTCCATGTGGCTTTCTGAACTGTTGGGGTAAAAGGGGGGAACTGGACAATAGAAGCTGAGAGATTTTTCAGGGGGGGGGGGGGGTGGGGCCCCCTCCACACTGAGCAGCTAGCCACTTTGAGCAGCATTGCTCCATGCCACAGGAGTGAGCAGGCTGGATTAAAAGGTTTGGTGGGCCTATCCCTGGTCTAAATTCCTACAGGTAACTCAATAGCCTATCTTTAAGCAATACTTGTTCAATATTTAGCATGTCATGATGCAATATTAGAATAATCTCCTAAGCCATGTTTACAAGTATTTATTGTAAAATTAATTCAAACTGCTGCAGGATTAGTTTGCTACCTCATTTCACAGGAAAATCAATCATTTTGCATTTTCCACAGCACTATCACATAAATCACTTTCACTTGGAACATTTAAAAAAAAAAAAAAAAAGGCTTAATGATTTCTACTAAACCTCTTATGCAATATCAAGCAACTAAATTTGCAGAAGAAAGCTACATAACAGACCTTAGGATTCACAGTACTGTATATTATAAGCTTTCCAGGTGTTCATCTGAAGTTAAATTTACAGAAGAAGGAAAGAATTTCTCATCAGCAGTATACTGTCTTACCTTTAAAATTTCAGGTTTTGTTTTTTCCATAATGTGTGTAAGGCTAAATAGATGAAAGAGTGCTTCCCTCACAAAGAATGCCCGCTCACTGTACCGCTTCAGTGCTTCAGAAATTTGAGTTTCATTTGCTTCTCCGGACACCTGGGAACAGAAAAGTTTATATTTCAATTTTTTTAAAGCTGTTATTGCTTTATTTCAGAATTTGATTTTTCTTAATTATGCAAAACTATTTTTCCAAAGCTGGAGGCATTTTATCCAAATCTCTGCGCTATTAATATTTCATCTACCTAATACATTGTCTATGCAGCCCAGAGCTAGACATTTTAACATTCCTCATGTAAGATATACATTGTACACAATAAACAGGGCCCTACCACATTTACAGTCCATTTTGGTCAATTTCATGATCATAGGATTTTAAAAATCATAAATTTCATTATTTCAGATATTTAAATCTGAAATTTCACAATGTTGTCACTGTAGGAGTCCTGACCAAACTCTGAAGGTAACTGCATGGAAGTAAGTGTGGCAAGGTATGGTATTGGTGCCCTTACTTCTGCACTACTGCTGGAGGGGCACTGCTTTCAGAGCAGAGCACCTGGCCAGCAGACACTGCTGTCTAGCCCAGTGTTTCTCAACCAGTGGTATGAGTACCCTTAGGGGTACTCGAGAGAAATTTGGGGGGGTACATCAACAACTGAAATTTAGAGAAAACTGAATTTTGGTTTTAAGTTTTACAGAGCTTTATTATTTTTGTACTTTTTATACCCAAAAATTTCATCGCCCGCCCAGCTACGATTAAGTTGTTTAAACAAATGTGTTGCAATGGTAGAAAACAAAATTGTGTGTGTCTGAGAACTGTAGATACTGGGGGTACTTATTGTTTTTTTTGAAAAAAGGATACTTTATTTAAAAAAAAAAAAAAGTTGAGAAACACTGCTCTAGCCATCCAGCTCTGAAGATACTGCCACCCTTACTTCTGCACTATCACCCTACAATCTACAGAGGGATGGACGAGGAGCTGCCCTAACCCCCCGGGCATGAGGTAACTGGTTAACCTTTTACATCCCTACTATAAATCAAAACTCGGCTTCAATCCAGTCTTTGACCTGAGCTCCCTGTAACCAACAGGCAGGAAGAGTGTTGCTCCATAACCAATTAAATGTTGCTGGTGTCAATATTTTGCCTCATAAGCAAGTATCACATGATCTACCACCAGATGGGTACACACTGCTGCTGAAGCCAATAAATTTTTTTAGCTGCAAGTGATGTTTTTTTCAGCCTCACCAAGGAGAGAAAGCTTCACCCTTTTCTGCAGGTTACTAATTAGCTCGATTAATAGAGTTCTGGGAAACTACCAATGAGAAATATCTTAGATCCTATATTCACTTACAAATATATACAAGAAAAAAAAATAGACATTCTTAAAGCCCAGACTTCAGCTCAACTTGCTAACTCATCTGAAAAAAAAATCACAATTGCCTGCACTAGAATTCACTTTTAATTAATTAACTTAAGCATCAGAACAAACTGCTGTAGGGGGTTGTGTAACCTTTGTCACAAAGAGGTTTTTAAGAACAGGTTAGACAAGCACCTGTCAGCAATGATTTAATTACAGGCAGTCCCCGGGTTACGTACAAGATAGGGACTGTAGGTTTGTTCTTAAGTTGAATTTGTATGTAAGTCAGAACTGGTACATATTGTACCCCAGGTGTCCCCGATTCAGCCGCTGCTGAAACTGACCAGCGGCTGACTACAGGAAGCCCGAGGCAGAGCTGCTTTGCCCGGGGGTTCCTGCAATCAGCCACTGATCAGTTTCAGCAGCAGCTGACTTGGGGACACCTGGGGTAGAGCAGCTGTGGTGCTGCCAGGGTGGGCCCCGCCGGGCCCAGGGC